ATTTTAAATTTATATATCCCTGTGTCGCTTTACTAGTACCTCCGATGCCTTTAACTACAGGACATGAAAGTGACCTATTTATTACTAAACCTAAGCGCTGACAACATTGTCGTGTTATAAAGCTATTTTGGGCTCCGCTGTCCAGCAGTGCACGGACGCTTTGTTCGTTTCCACGCGAATCCCTAACCAAAATACGCGCCGTACCCAGTAACACGGTCGAAGGAGGTTGTACTCCCATATTTGCCAATGAGCACAGAGCGACATCACCAGGTCGACCGCTAGAATCGTTGACCTTAGTAGGGGTGAATTCCTTATCCGCCTTACTTGACGCCGCTATGTTGCTATTTTCAAAATGTAATAGCGTGTGATGTTTCCTGGCGCACTTGCTACATACGGAACTCGAATTGCATTTTGCAACTAAATGCTTATCGCTTAAGCAGTTCAAACATAGGTTGTTTGTCTTTACTAACTTATAACGTTCGCTTGGTGAATATTTACGAAAAGTCGCACAATTATATAAATTACCGTGTTTATCTTTACATACTATACAAGTATGCTGGAGTGATGTCGGCGTAGCGGTTACGTAAGTTAACGACCCTGCTATTTTAGATGGTTGAGTCTGTCTACGGTCGACGCACCTTTTAATCTCCTGTTTAACGTTCGGAGAGCGCTGCATCACCTTTATTTGATCTCGCACGAACGATGCTAATGAATGAAAGGAAGGCATCTCCGAGCTACGATGCTCCATTTCAAACGCACGCACGGTGTCGGAGTCTAATTTCTTTAATGCTATATGGAGAAACACCACGTCCATAAGGTCATCAAACTTCAAATTCTTAAGTGCGTTGCCTCTAAGCCGTTGATGTTCGCGGATGATATAGGTTTAAGATCGAATATCTGGTTCAAATATTCGGAAGCTAACATTCTCCTATCTTCATATTTAGTTTTAAGCGTTTCAAATATTAATACGTAATTGTTTGCTGTAGGTGTAAAACCCGAGCAGATCGACTGTGCTCTGCCACTAAGTTTGATAATTAAGTAATATAATTTTTCAGCGTCCGATAACGATGGGTTGTTGTGTATATTGTTTTGAAAACTACTGAAGAAGAAGGGCCACGTCTTAATATCACCATTGAATACCGGAATATCTATTGCCGGTAACCTAATTGAGTCACGAGGGCGTACCTGCATTTCCGGCTTTGCTTCGCTTTGAGATTGTAGGAGTTTTGCAGTTCTTTTTACGCGACACAACATATCTTCGAATGCCAGCAGCGGTTGGTAGTTCACTATGTATTTCGGGTCGCTTTGTAATTCCAAATGATTAATTTGGTCTAATATTCTTTCGTAATCTATCCGCAAAGTATCTATCGTTTCGATTTCATTCAAAAAGTCTATTAATGTTCTTTATATAATTACTTATATTCTGCACACGCGAAAAGAGTATGTCCCTCTTGGCATAAAGCGTTTTAATTTTGATTTCACTTCCACTAACTGCCATTTTAAATTATTATAATAAAGTTATATTAATCACAATTAATCTCACACGCATAAACGACGTAGGATGAACACTCGGCGTGCCGTATTACGTAATCAGATCGAACACCCGTTGCGGTCGAGTCTACGCGTCGTTTGCTAAACCTAATAATTTTATCAAAATTGTGGGTAAGCGTATCAAACGGTTGCTATCACACCGTTTCAATTGTTTAATAAGCTTTAAATTTAACCAAATACGAGCGCTATTAAATGAATAATTCTGTTTGCGACTACCAAATCAAATTTTTAATTTAAACAAACACTATTTAAGTCTATTCCATAAATTACAGTGCGTTATCTAAACAATTAATTTAAAATTCGACCAGAAAATGGTTGGATAACCACTAAACACCAATCCAGATCCTGCCGAAGTGACCATAAAATGGTGGAGCCACGTGTTTAAGGCTGCCGAAAATCTAGTTCCCCGGTCAAACCTCAAACCTATTACGCGAGATATTAACTAAAGTGGACTGTATTTGCGATTGCTTCTATGCTTATGTAAAAGCGACTACTATAGCATGCGGTACAATGCACTCGCTCTTCCCTAAACTAAAACTATTACTTGCCAAATCGATGAAAGGAATCCTGCCTGATGGGGAGAACACAGAATTGGTGGCGGTTAAACAATTATTAAATATTAATCAGGCAGTAAATTAAGGAATGTTGACTCACCGGGGTTCTTCTATCCTTTAGAGCACTATAGCGGCGATTTCCGGAACCTCCTCTGGACAGACACTCTGGGGCCCCAGGGGTGCGTCAGGAGAGAAGCGTTGTAGTTCAACGACGGCTGCGGCGGGAAGAAGAGCGCGCGTCGGTCGCGCGTGTCTTATATATCCTCGGGTCCGATGATTACGCGATGTTCTAGAATCGTCTTCTTTCCCCTCCCACCCCATCACCCCGATGTGTCGATAGGAGGGTACGAATGATATCGTTTGGGAAAGGGAATAATGATTCGGCAAGTTCCTACTGTCAAAAATAAAAACGCGAATGGTTTTCCGCGCAACCAGACACAATTATCGGATATTTTGATTTTACAAATAACACCAACCAGAAAGTATAGAACACCAAAAAGTAGAAGGTGGGAAGCCATAAACAACTCTATTGTCTTATTACAAAAACCACTCAATATATTGTATGTTAAGTCATTTTAGTCCATAAATGTAGCATTATTTAATAGTTTAAGCGGTTCAAATTGACGAACGATTAATTATATGTAATAAGTGTTTAATACCTTACCCATGTTTAATTAGCTATCTTTTATTTTCACCACAAATCTTAAACTGCATTATACTGTCCCTCAATCAATATTCAGTAGGTACATAAATTTAAGTACCCGGATGACCGAGCTTTGCTCGGTTTTTTTTTAATTACATTTAGATACAAATTACATGAATAATATTTTTTTGATCTTATTGACATAGTAGAAAAAACTTAACTGGTTATTTGAACGAAAATCATGGGTGCAATTAGTTTAATTAAAATTTTTCTTATTTTTAAAAATTACTAAAAAAAGGGCTCGAAATAATAGATTTTCTCACAAAAGAAGTGAATTTGAAAAAAAAAGGAAAAAAAGTCGGACCCAAAAGAGGACGCGAACGACGGAACTCCGATATCACGCCCGACCGACATCCCACCTGAGCTATTACGATCGTTAGTAGTCTGTCAAAATTTACCTTCTTATATTGTAGCAGTTTTTTATTGCCTGAAAACACGGGCAAAAGGACATTTTCTAAAAATAAATCCTAGCTAGATCGATTTATTGCCCCCCAAAACTCCCTGGACACTAAATTTTATGAAAATCGTTGGAGCCGTTTCCGAGATTCCGATTCTATATATATATACAAGAATTGCTCGTTTAAAGGTATAGAATAGGATTCAAAAATTGCTATAATACTAGTCACAAATTTGTGAGGAGTTAAAACATTTACCTAGGCATTTAAAATAAAGAGTTGAACGGATTTAATTAAATTATGCATGCATGTGAGAACATTTTTGGTTTTCTACAGACTGGTTTCCGACAGAATTCAAAGGGGCAAAAGCTAGTACTAAATAAAACAATAGTATTATTTAGCACGTTGGGTTTTTGCATAAGTCTTTACAATATTGGACAATAAGATAAAAACGATACTTTTGGTTATGTAAAATTACAAGATCGTACGCGAAATGACCATCAGGTGGAATGAAACATGAATCAGTTACACTGGAATTCATAGTCCAAGGGTGAATAGTCAACCGATTCATTATTCATCAATTTATTTTTTCTATAATTAATAAACACTTTAATTAATAAATTCCCTTAATTGACACGAGCTACGTTAATAGTTACCGACAGCATTAATTAAGCCATCGCAACGTCAATGCAATTAGCACAGATGCGTTGCGACTTGGTTGAAGGGATTATCCGCGAAAAATGATGTCTAGTTGCGAATGTCTGTCATTTTCTACTGATTGTGTATTTTGTTGCATCATTACAACATGAATAAAAACTGATTATAAAAACTACATGAAATTTTAAAATATAAAGCCATCAAATTTTAAAATTTGTGTTCATATATTATTATTTTATTTGCCCTAAGGGAATACTATGTGGCTTAATCTACTACGAACAGTCATAATGTGCCTAAAAAGCACATACTACAATTTACAATACTGTGTTAGCCTTAATATATGGTAATGGAAGCTGGGTATGGCAGAAGAAGCATGAGCGTAAAATTTATGCTTTCGAAATGCGTTCATTAAGAAGCATGATAGGGTTGTCTCGGAGTGACAGGATGAGATATTAATTGATAAGAAAAAATCATAAGACCTTGTGTGATAAGAGAAAAGTATGGTTTGCAAAAAGATGTTGTGATCAGGATTAAGATAGAATTACTTCAGAGATTTGGCCATATAAAGAAATAATTGAGGAAAGAGTGGCACAGCAAGTTTATGTCATAGAAGTTGATGACAGAGTCGGCGTTGGACGCCATAGACAAAAGTTTAATAAACAAAATTTTTAAATTAAGTGTTATATTGAAGATGGACTACGTTTCACTCTGGTTCTGCAGCGAATACCATTATGTATTATAGAAAGAAAGAAAGAAAGAAACATTTATTTGCACACGATACAGGTGGTACCAGATTTAACAGTGGTGCATAGTTCAAACTATATTCTGCCTTTAATAGGCAGAATATAGTTATAATTATATAAGACAATTAAAATACTATTATATTACTTACAAAATGTCAAGTTATATGATTATTATTATTATAGTACATTTTATTTAATTTTACAAATAATCATATGCATTAGTTTTATATTTATATATAGTATTCTATGATCATTACGCATGCTATCATCTAGAGAAACTCCGGGCGTGGGCTAATCTTAAGCTCAATAAATAGAGCTTATACTTTTTTATTCATGACTGTTTTGTATTCCATTACTAACTTAAAAAATTTAGGTAATGAACTTTATGGGTTCTTAGGTACTTCGACGGGTCGAACATAGTTTTTCGGGCTACCAGACCACTTGCAATAGGTGAAATCGTGTCTGAAAACTATGGACCACATTTCTTAATGCGCAACCTGAAAGAGCGACAAAGAAGTCTGGCCTGCAGATACTGGTTTAAGTGCGATTGTACCGCGTGCAAAGAAGACTGGCCAACTTTGAAACAAATGAGTATCAGCGCTCCTTTCTTAAGGTTATACCTCTATTTCATTCTGGATTGCACTAGACTAGGATTATTAAAATTTATTTTTGTTATTACTGTAATACACTTTTTATTTTAGATGCCCTAATATTGATTGTTCGTGGAAGTTTATAGCAAATCCCAAGAGTTTACCCAACAAGTGTTCTAAATGTTCTGTAACTATTGATAGAAACTTGGTAAAAGTGTATTTGGAGACAGTGGAAAATTGTTTATCAAAATACCAGGTAAGTTCAACATTGAATTAGTTTAAATATAAATCCTATATATAAGTAAAATCTATCCGTCTATTGCAGCCTATAAAAGTCTACAGCTGAAAATAGGTCTCACCCATAGATTGAGTCATAGGAGGGATTTTGTATTTTTATTTTTATTCAGCTGTTATCAGGGAGATGCTGGTGATGCTGGTGATGCTGGTGATGGATGTGGATGATGATGCTGCCCATTTCCTGTTTTAGATTTCCCCTGTTGCCTCTTACGATACCTACGAGACGATATGGGGTAGTGGATACAAGTACACGGTTAACTTTGCTAAAATGTAAAAAATTATATTTACAGCCCATACGTCCCACAGCCCAGGTATCCTCTCGTTTTTGAAAGAACATATGTGCAATTAGTCCGTCACGTTTGAAACACTTTATTGCTCTGACGTGAAGGTTTGAGGTAAAAGATATGGAGTAATGGTAATCTTTACGCCACCACTGCACACTATGTCTCTATACTACGCCTAGCCTTTACTTAGTAGTACCTGAAATTACGCAATAATTTATGCATAAGTGGTTACGTTAGTCATCAATCTTAAAAGCAATTCAACTTGAACAAACAAATGGACGAGGGTAAAAATTAGTATATAGTGTATATATTACCATACCTTTTACTGGAAACGAAGCGTTAAATCTCAGTCCTCACGTGTGACAACGCTTCGATTCGTAATCGAGGATGGATGTGGATGTTCATAGGCCACAGCTTATAGCACACTTACCATCAGGTGGACTGGGTGCTCGTTTGTCACCCTTATCCTTTAAAAAAAACATAGTCCTCACCCATGTAGTATTTGACGCAATCACTACGCTTGGCAGCGGGATTGGAGATCATCATTACTGCCGGTCTCGCAACTGACGCAGCCCACCTTCGCCAAACTCCACATTTTACGTTTGTGATATACAAGTTAACCTTCTGATTAGTGTATTACAAAAAATAAATAAAATTAAAAATATTTGGAAAAATATTTTGAAAATTTCCAAGATTTATATTTTTCGCAAAATTACTCAGCCCTTACCTTGGCGCGTTACTCAATACTACAAATAATGATATAAACATTCTCGAAAGTTTTTTAAACTAATATAAGCTAGTGCTTCAACCCGTATCCCACCTGCTGGTGAAACGTTAGTTAGTGTACAACGATCTTTATTCATTTTCGGTTTAATTTCATGTAAATTTAAATTAACACCTATTACAATACTGTCCGAATGGTCTACTCTACTCAAAATGTTAAATTCACTAATTTATTAAAGCTGTCCATAATTACAAAGGTGGGTTTTGTTCATTAGCATTTAATATGTTACGTAATTGCAAGTACAGTACAGTTGATTCAATCCAAGTGTATAATTATTGATAGGCAATGTTAAATATTTGGTCTTATTCACACATTATTTAAAATTGAACCATCACATCGATGTATTCAAGAAAAAACTAGTAATTTTCTATTATAGAGCTTTTACTGTCATGTCGGAGTCAGATTCTATAGGTTGAAATACACATTGGTATTTTTTTTTAGATTTTTTAGTTTAAGGAGATATAACAACATTTTTGTTTGGAGATTCACTAATGACCATTAATGACCAGAAACGTATAGTATCGTATCAATACAAAAACATTTCTTTGCGTTTGCTTTGGTAAATTACTATTACCGCAGTATTAGTGTAAACGCACAAACGAAAGTGCTTAGTAAACGAGATTACTATAATTCTGTAGCATTATTTTATGGAAAGTTAATCAATGATAGAATTTTACTATATTTTATACGAATAATAATTTATTTTTAATTATATATGTTAACATATATCTACGTTTTATATATGATCAAACGGACTTTAAAGCGAAGTTCGATCATTATTGTATAAGTCGCTTCATTCGAAGATATTTAAACCATACCTATAGTCCCCTTCCCTTGCGCAAGCAACGCACGTCTTTAGATTAATATTTTTTTAACTACCCTACTCAAATCAAATCCAGTTGCTGGTCAGATATAGTTTTCGGTATTTTAGAGATGCATGGTCTAATTAGCAAATCTCTGGGTCCACGTATGAGGGTCGGGAAATTACATCTTCGAATGAAGCGACTCATATAATAATGATGGAACTTCGCTTTGAAGTACGTTTGATCATATATTGTATTTCGTCGCTTCATTGTTCAGCTATTTAAACCAAGTAGATGTCAAGAGATAATGAGATTTGTATATTCATGTTCAATAAACGGCATAGATTATTTACTTAGAAATATTTATTTATGGTGATTAAGTATAATATAAATGTAATCTACACTACAATAAATCGTTTCAATTCAAACGATTGATGAGCGAACAGAAGCGATTAACTCTAAAAGATTAACTTTAGAAGAGGAAACCAGGATTATCTAGGCTAACATGGAAACGCGAGTATACCACACGCTTCATCGTTTATTATCTTATAAATACATTTAAGTATTAGTGAGAATGAAGTAAAAACGTAGAAAAATATATCTTTCTATGTAATTGTAAACTCATCGACAAAAGACGTGTCCGGTTCGGGAAACCAGGAAACATATAATTTGCATTTGGCATTAATGCGAAAAGCGAACACGTCAATTACCGGTTGACCTAATTCGTGGGTTATTGTGTATAAATGCTTGATCTGATAAAGTCCATTTTATATCGGAGTTGATATTTCTTTTCCGCATATGTTTCAGTATTTTGTTTAGTAATGATGTAAGAACCAAACATCCATAATATGTTTCGCTTCTCGCACCACTGCCAGAATTGTTTGGTTAGATTATGTAAGTGTAAATATTTTATTCCTCTCATTTTAATAAGATAGTTTGATCATCATTCCAGATCTTCACAAGTCCACTGCTGAACATAGGCCTCCCCCAAGGTATGCCACAAAGCACGGTCCTAAGCCACCCGCATCCATCGACTTCCTGCATGTCTTACCAGGTCGTCACTCTATCTAGTGAGGGTCGCCCTACACTACCCCTACCGGTACGAGGCTGTCCCTCGAAAACTTTTTTCCCCATCGGTTTTCGGTTCTACGAGCTATATGGCCGGGCCATTGCCACTTCAGCTTACTAATCCGTTGGGCTACATCGGTTTACACTAGTTTTACTGTGGATATCCCCATTTCTAAGTTTATCACGCAGAGAAATCCAGAGTATAGGCATCTCCATAGCTTGCTGAGCGACCTTGAGCGTCCTCATGCGGCCAGCAGTAAAGGACCACGTCTCAGATCCATAAGCCATCACTGGCAACACACACTGGTTGTACAATCTAGTTTTCAGGTTTGAGGTATACCTGACGAGAAGATGTGTCGTAATTTCACGAACGCTGCCCAGCCGATTTGAATCCGTTGATTGAACTCTCGGTCAAAGTTGAAGTTACCTAATCGGACTATTTGTTGTAGGTACACGTACTCGTCAACAACTTCTAACTTAGTGCTCCCAGCAACTACCGGAATAGGTGTGACACGGACATTACACATGACATCGTCATCGTCAGTCCGGTTAGTGCGTTGTATGTTGCCAGGTCGAGTCGTCTTAGGTGGCAACCAAACCACCACCGGTGATTCTTAACACCCCCCTGCCCCGCCGTTACCATCGCCACCATAGCCAGGAATAGCGGGGCTGCCAGGGACTGGGGGCCGTTTATTTGTGTCGTTGCTCATGGGGGGGTATACTACAGAGAGCTTAAGGCTGTCTTATTGTCACGAAGTAAAATAACCGACGTATGTAACCTTCGTCTTATTGTCAACTTATAACAATATAGCACAGTTTGACAGTTCCTTTACATATGATTTTAATGCTAACAATATGGCTAAAAGTTCTAAATATTTAATATGATACTTTCTTTCGGTTTCCTTCCATGAGCCTTGAGCGCCATTACCATTACAAAATGCTCCCTCCCCTATTTTCGATGCATCCGAGAATATCTTTTACCCAATTAAATCATTAAGTAGTTATACATCGCTCTAGATTTATTTTGGTGTTATATTTGTGAAATCCTTTATTAAAGACATTTTTGGCATTCCAAGGTATTGGTATATACCCACCCATATTTCACGATGGGGCATGCTGCGCTACATTTTAATTATATATTTTAACAAGTTGCACTATAGTAGAGCGGTTTTCAACGGTCAAGGAAACTGAAAGATTTGTTGTACTAAAATGAGTTCTAAAAATGAGATTTTGTTATAATTAATTACGAAACCAAGATAACTGAATAAGTTTTTCCTATGCATGATATCAAGGTATACTACTGATTTATATTCTCGATATCTAAGGTGGATCATAGCCTCCTTCATTATGTTTTTAATTACTCTAGGAACAATGGAAGAACCGTAGTGCGTTGCGTTAAATTCAAATATTATTTTATAAGAACTATCACTCTCAAACTCAAAACGTAGGTATTTACAGAATGATTTTTTAATTGGTACTAAAAGATAGATTTCTTTTAGGTCTATAGTGGCTAGAAAGCCATTTTTAGGAATAAGTTTAAACGTTGTCATCGACCTCCATTTTAAATTAGATTTCGCCACAAATTTATTAGATAATAAAAAGTTTTATCTTTATCCACCGTTTTTCTTAGGTGCTAAAAATATAAAAGATATTGGTCCTTTAAGGGTGCATACATTTTGACGACACCTAAGTCTAAAAGTTCATTAATAGCGATTTCCATATCATGTTATTCTTGATAAGACCATAACGTTTTAGTCATATGTGGTTGTAGAACACTTTTGCAAAAGGAATATCGACGCGTTGACTAATCCGATTTAGAACTGTCCTACTGTCGGTTATTTTAGTCCAACACTCATAATAAATTTTTATTCTACCAGCATGAAATTGACTTAGAATGGCTGAATGCAGGAGGAGATTGGTGACCGATTCGTTTCTGACCCCCCCCCCCACCACTCATTGGACTTGAAACGAGAAGGTCCTGACCAGTTTCCCTGATTGCAGGGATACCCACGCCCAATTG